AAGAACCTAAGGCATATTAAACCTTAGACCTGGTGATATGCGGAAACAAGAACCTCGATTTGTGATAGGAGAAATATTTATCCAAAAAGAAAGAGTTCTAATTATGGTACAATTTTATATTCTCACCATATAAACTGCATCTGACTGGGACCTATCAATTAGTATCAAAGCCTTATCGCCATGGTATCCAACAAAGAAAGGATTGAGAATTTGGAAGCAGGACTTGGCAGACTTCAAGACAACCATTTGTCTGAAGCTTTTCTTTTGTCAAACAAATAAGGTACCTGCCATGATAACGGTCGTGAGGAAACCTCTCACAAAGGTGAAACTGATGGAGTTCGTCAGACTGTTTCATCCAAAACAGCCAAGCTTGAGTTCCTAAAATACTCAGGTGATGACCCAACTGAATGGTTCAATCGAGTAGACCAGTTATTTGAATTCCAAGGCACGACCGAGAAACCGAAAGTCTCCTTAACCTCATTTCATTTGGAGGGTGAAGCCCATCAATGGTGGCAGTGGCTGCGGCGGACTAACATGGAGGAAAGAAGGGAGGTGAAATGGGCAATCTTTGAGGAAGAGTTGTGGGCTCTATTCTGACCCACGGATGGGGAAGATTTTGATGAAGCTCTCTCACATATTCAGCAAGTGGGTTCTCTGCGAGAATATCAGCAGGAGTTTGAGAAGCTGGGCAACCGTGTAAAAGGGTGGACTCAAAAGGCATTGGTAGGAACCTTCATGCGTAGACTCAAACCGGATATAGCTGAAGGCATTCGAATGTTCAAACCACGAACGTTGAAGGAAGCTATAAGCCTTGCTCAGATACTAGATGAGCAACTGTTCCTCCAACGGAGTTTAACGTAACCACTTCCGGCCAATGGGTCCACGCCAACATCTCCTATGAAGAGACTCACGTAGGATGAAATGCAGAAACGGAGAGCACAAGGTCTTTATTTCAATTGTACTGTTGGTCACAAGTGTCAAAAATCACACCTCTTACTGCTTGAAGGGTACACAAACACGGGCAAAATTACTTGTGAAGAGATCATAGAGGACAACCCTCGTGAAGACAAAGCAAATGCAAGAGAGCAACATTCTGGAAGACCTCCAGAAGCTGCATCTAGGTTTAGACCTTGGGGACAAGTGTGCACTTGAGGGCGAGGTATTGATAGGAGAAATATTTATCCAAAAAGAAAGAGTTCTAATTGTGGTACAATTCTCACCCGAAGAGAATTATTTTCTCACCATATAAACTACATCTGACTGGGACCTATCAATTTGTGAACGCCATAAAGAGTGTATAATCCTTTGATAAGTTCTTGGGTTAAATTCCACAAATATAATAATATATTTGATAAGTACAAATGTTCATGAAGAACAAGAAGAGAGAAAATCTCAATATTTCATTATGTTAAAAAGTTGATGTTTAAATTGGAAATAACTCGAAAAATATCACAAAATATCAAAATAAATAGAATTTTAACGATAATAGGAAACTTGCTAAAAATTAAAAATCTAGCCAAACTTTTCTTCTATGCGGCTGCATAGAAGGTTTCTATACGGTCGCATAGAAAACCTTCATTAGGCTTGGGGAGCCCCTGCAAGTATGGATGCGGTCATATGGCAGTTTAACTATAAGGCCGTATAGTTTTACATTTGCATCTTCCTTTCCCAATATACAATTGGGGTGATTCAAAATGCGTTAGAAAGATTACTTCAAGATCTGCAAAACTTATAGAAATACAAATCTTCAAACTCGAATGTATTCTATGCCAAAAATGGGTCTCAAAATGAGACTGAAAATTCGAGTACTTTCCAACCTGTTCCGGCCCCAACATGTTACTTGACAATTGGCTTGTTGTCTTCAATATTATGGACTCCGATGCTCGAACATGTAAATGACCAGCTTCATCAATGCTTTGAAGTCTCGAACTTGGCTCTTC